ACCCTGTTCCGGTGATGCTCCGCCTTGTCCCGCTTGAGCTGCTTTAGGGATCACAATGGACATGTAGATAAATGTTATTTATTAGGGATGTTTTAGAAGCTGACCAAATCGTCGTGTCAGCAACTACTCAGCCAAGCACAGTGTTCTTACCAAGCACGTCGTTTGGTGGGGGTACGACGTCGTCACCCTGTTCCGTTGATGCTCCGCCTTGTCCCACCTGAGCTGCTCTAGGGATCAAAATGGACATGTAGATAGATGTTATTCATTAGGGATGTTTCAGAAGCTGATCAAACCGTCGTGTCAGCAACTACTCGGCACAGCACAGTATTCTTACCAGCGCGCTTCATCGCAATGTACTCGATTCCTTTCCTCTTTCCACCGTGCCCAAAACCCTTGTCGGGCTCCAGATGACCTTTAGCATTCTTTGTATACGTCGGTAGGATGAACTTGTAGCTTTGCATGGGGCTGGCGTTCCTTTCGAGCACCTCTTTTACAGTGGCATCATCCCCCCTGATCGTGCGACAAAAAGCCCTCTCTTGTGCGTCGAGCTGCAGTTTCGCAGTTTCGGTGGCAACATCTCCATGAACTCCTAGAGTGTCATCCAAGAAGAGAGGTGTACGAAGGACAATTGAGTCGGTTTGACAGTAGAGTTTGGGATACAGTACTTGTTGTAAAGATTAGTTACGGCACATACCACTCTTGAAGCACTTACTCCAATACACCTCCCCGTTTCTTGTTTTAAAGATTAGTTACGGCACATACCACTTTTGAAGCACTTACTCCAATACACCTCCCCGTACCTGACTTGGCGGCAGCATTAATCATGGTCACCACTGCCTCACTAGCCTCAGAGGCTAGCACATACAGCACGTCGTTTGCACTTGCGACATGTACTCCTCCTCTCAGTGCTGTCAATCCACACCGCATGAGCGCCATCGGGATGCGCATATGTTTCCCAAGAGATATGTTGCGCTGTTTCCACTTCCCTATTATTTGTTCGAACGGATGCTTATCTTCTTCATCCTCCTCTTCATCATCATTTTCGTGGAGCGCGGTTGTGATTTCCGACACGGCCTCCACCTGTGGTGCAACTGATGGCTGTTGGGTAGTGGAACATGGGATTACATGGATGTGGAATGCTTCAGTGTTGGAGATGCAAGGGTGGTGCATGATAGCAGAGGGAGTTGTGGTGAGGTGACGGAGTATCCATGCCATCCTGTGATATTCTGTCAGAAGGGTAAATGTAGAGCGTGATGGCACAATCGAGGGCAATAGGCTTGGTGCAGGGATGAGATAGCTATGCCCTCTTATGTGTCACTGTGGGTTGGGAGAGGGGGGTGCATGCTAGCCGAAATGTGTGGAAGTGCAGTGACGGAGTGGCACTACCATCGTACGTTCCACCGTTGGTGGGGAAATGTGGACGCATTGAAACAAATAGGGCGGATATGCAGTGATGGTGCTGCTCTGCGCTCCTAGTCGCCCTATGTTAGCATGCTAACTGTGATGCGTGAAAAAAGGGAGGGTGGGCTTAGGGGCTGTCGTCGAGTAGACCTGCCCTCCTATGCTCCAATGTTGGAAAGGATAAGTCGGTGCGTGAGAATCTGGGGGGGCTTCGGTGGGCAGCTGGATTAGCTCTAGTCTCTTTTGCTCCTCCCTTTTCCGGAAATAAATGGTGGTGTGTGGTAGCATGGAGGGTGGGCGCTCATGCAGTGTACGAGTAGCTGTACTCTTAGGGGCTCGCATTGAACGGTGGGAATCGGCGCTACGCGAAAGAAGGGTGCGCAAAGGTGGAGTGATAGATTAGGTATGCCCTTTTGACCACATCCCCCTTCCCCCCTCTGCCCTCACCTCCCTCCCCCTAAACCCGCAGCCCATCCCTTCTCTCGAAGACCTCACCTCCGTTCCCTCTCTGACCTCAGCATCATTTTCCCTCTCTCTACACCTCCTGTCCCACTTTGCCCTCGACTCTTTGTCCACTTCTGTCCTAATCTCCCTTCCCCGGTCTGCCCTAACTGCAGCACTCCCCTTCCCCCCCTGTGAGCACCCTCCAAGACCCCCCTCACAGACTCTCAACTCCATAATACCCTACACACATCCCTCTCCTCCGCTGACTACAGAAACCCTCCCACACCCCAACGCTTCCCTCCCTTCCCCTCTTTAACCTCACCTCTATCCAGCTCCCTGACCTCATCTCCCTCCCCCTTTTGAGAGCAACCCCCTTCTACATTTTCAGAAGCTCTACCTCATCCTCACACATCCCTTCCCTAGGTGATTTGCCGCCTCCTTTTCGCTTCTTGCAACTAAACTCCCCATTCTGTCGTGACTTCCCTGCATCCTTTTGAGTCCACCACACTTCCTCATACCACCATTGTTCCCTTCCCTCTCTGTCCAAACCCTCCCAACCCCCTTTCCCTCACCTCTTATCCCTCACATTACCAAGTTCTTTCCCCCCTCACGAGAGTAGTCCCTTCCCCATAAACCCTCACCTCAAATACCCATCTTTTGTCACCTCCCTTCCCCCTCTCCAGGGCACCTCCCGTCCCCATCCCGCAGCACAGCATCCGCACCCACAGCCGTTCGTTTCACCCTGCCCACTGCCTTTCACTTCTCACTTTGGCCGACCGGGCCATCCGTCCTCTCTCTTCCACTCCCCTTCCCCCTCTGATGTGACTTCCCCAACCCTTCCCCTTCCATCAAACCCCCTTCCCTCATCCTCCCCTCGCCTCCCTACCCATTCGAACATCACCTCGCTCACTCCATCTGATCTCACCTCCTCAGTTGCCTCTTTGTCTGTTACCCCTCTTCCCCATCTCACAGCACTCCCCTTCACCGTCTCATCGGACCTCCACGCCCCCCACAAACGCTGCATCCTCCCCCCTAGAGCTCGTCTCCCGTCTCCCGCTCACAACACTACGCTTCCCCCTCTACCTCGTCTCTTTTAATCTTCATCGACCTCCCCCCCATCCACTACACCTCCCTTTCCCCCCCTACACTGCAGATCCCTTCCCCCCCTACACTGTACCTCCATTCCACCCCTCCACTGCACCTCCCTTCCCCCCTCCACCGCACATCCATTCCCCCCTCCACTGCACCTCCCTTCCCCCCTCGACTGCACCTCCCTTCCCCCCATCCACTGCACCTCCCTTCCCCTCTTCCCTGCACCTCCCTTCCTTCTCTTCACTGCACATGACTTCCCCCCCTTCACTGCACATGACTTCCCCCCCTTCTCTGCACATGACTTCCCCCCCTTCACTGCACATGACTTCCCCCCCTCACTGCACATGACTTCCCCGCCACCTCACTGCACATGACTTCCCCGCCACCTCACTGCACATGACTTCCCCGCCACCTCACTGCACATGACTTCCCCGCCACCTCACTGCACATGACTTCCCCCCCTCACTACACATGACTTCCCCCCCTCCCTGCACATGACTTCCCCCCCTTCACTGCACATGACTTCCCCCCCTCACTGCACATGACTTCCCCCCCTTCACTGCACATGACTTCCCCCCCTTCACTGCACTTGACTTCCCCCCCTTCACTGCACATGACTTCCCCCCCTTCTCTGCACATGACTTCCCCACCTTCACTGCACATGACTTCCCCCCCTCACTGCACATGACTTCCCCCCCTTCAATGCACATGACTTCCCCCCCTCACTGCACATGACTTCCCCCCCTTCAATGCACACGAATTCCCCCCCTCACTGCACATGACTTCCCCCCTTCACTGCACATGACTTCCCCCCCTTCACTGCACATGACTTCCCCCCCTTCTCTGCACATGACTTCCCCCCCTTCACTGCACATGACTTCCCCCCCTCACTGCACATGACTTCCCCGCCACCTCACTGCACATGACTTCCCCGCCACCTCACTGCACATGACTTCCCCGCCACCTCACTGCACATGACTTCCCCGCCACCTCACTGCACATGACTTCCCCCCCTCACTACACATGACTTCCCCCCCTCCCTGCACATGACTTCCCCCCCTTCACTGCACATGACTTCCCCCCCTCACTGCATCACAAAAATCCTGCGTCCAGAAAACCTTTGGAAAGAGTTGCTTTAAAGCTTTGTTGAATGATTTATAAACGTCTTGTTTGGTACGATATTTTGAGAAAGTATATACCTTCTTCTGGATGCTTTGTCGAACGCTGTTCGCATGCTTCTGCGATGCTTGTGTGTTCAAACCTCTCAGGTGAAAACCTTCGGCAGAAGTTTGGTTGGAGTTTCCGCAGAGCAATTTCGGAGATTGGATCTCATTGCATTGTACTCTTCATGGACATCCGGTTTAGTTATAATGAAGTTGGATTGGAGACTTGCAATGGTTAACATGTTGTTTAACAAGATGTTTAGTTGCCTCATCCTAGCATCCAAAATGACCATTACTGAAGCGTTGGTAAATGGGTTTTATTCTCAACAAAAAAGGCACATACAAGAGCATCCTACACCCCACCCTCTCTAGTCAAAGACCCCGCCTCTTAGGGTGATCTGCATCAACCTGCTTCTCATGCTCCCGTACACTATGCCTCCCACTACACCCCATGTCACGTGCTCTAGGCCGAGCATGCTCGCCCCTACACCTAGCCCCCATGATCCATGCCTTGGCTGCGACCCCACTTCCTGCCTCTCTTCCTGCATCTCCCATCCCTCCTTCACTAATTGTGGTACTATTGCCCTGCCCGTGCGTCCACTGCTTCCTCGCATGTCCAGCCCTGTCATGCGTCTGCTGCTCCGCCTTAGACATCCTCTAGTCAAGCCTTTACTGCTGTTTGCTTTGTCCTATCCGGTCATGCCTATACTGCTGCGGCCCTTGCACCACTCCCCTCCGTAATGCTGTCCCCCTTTCTCTATCCACACGTGCCTTCCCTGATGCCCCCCTTGCTGTCTCCACCAATGCCTCTCCTCGCACGTATGTGATGCCTCTCCTGCTGTCCCCTTTTGTAAACTCCACGCATGCCTCATCTGCAGCCCCCCTTGTCTCGTCACACCATCATTTGGCCCTCTTGCCTCCCCTTCTTTTGCCATTTTCGTGCCTTTTGCCCTTCCTCCGCTCCTGGCCCCCCTGCTTCTCATCCTCATCCTCATCCTCTTCCTCCTCTTTCTCCTCTTCCTCCTCTTCCTCCTCTTCCACTTCCCTCCAACCTCCCTTGCCTCTGCCTCTCTTGTGCTTTCTCCCCTTCCTCCGCGACTGCCCCCCCTGTTTCTCATCCTCCTGCTCCTCCTCTTCCTCATCTTCCTCCACTTCCTCTTCCCTCCTGCTTCCCTGCCCTCTGCCTCTCTTGTGCTTCCTGCCCTTCCTCCGCTCCTGCCCCCCCTGTTTCTTATCCCCCAGCTCCTCTTCCTTCTCCTCTTCCTCGTCCGCTTCCCTCCTGCCTCCCCTGGTTTTCCCCCCCTTGTGCCTTCTGCCCTTCCTAAGATCTTGCCCCCCCCGTTTCTCATCCTCTTCCTCATCCCTCCCGCCTGCCCTAGGTCTCTTGTGCCTTTTCCTCTTCCTCTGCTCCTGCCCCCACTGTTCCTCGTCCTCGTCCTCCTCCTCCTCCTCCTCCTCCTCCTCCTCCTCCTCCTCGTCATCCTCCTCCTCCTCCTCCTCCTCCTCCTCCTCCTCATCCTCCTCCTCCTTATCCTCCTCCATGTCCTCCGAGTCGTACACCTCCTTTTCTTCCTCCTTCAGGTCCTTCGTTTCGGCATCAAGCTCAGCCTTCCCCCGGAAGGCCTCAAATCCTGACTCGTGAACATACAGCCCACGGTCGCCCCACTTGAAGCCCTTCACGTCTGTATTGTACACGGGGGTGTGGCGTGTGAAGTGGTCCTTGATAATCCACCGCACATTTCGGTGCAAACCCCCCATCCATTCACTGTTCTTCCGGTGGGAGTTGGAGACGTTCCAGTCAGTCCTCTTAACCTTTGATAGGCCCTGGTCAATCTGAAAGTGTATAGCACAGTATGGGATGGAGGAAATACACCAACTTCAGTGGACACTCGCGTGCAGAGTTTAGAGGCTGCGCTAAATGCCCCACATACCATGCCGAGGGACACCAAACAGCATGCCAAGCTAGAGCATACCATGGGTTGAGCAATAATTGCGTACCACCATGATTGACCAGGCAATGTGGTATGCTTTGACGCACACCCGGCGCCCGACACAGAAATTCCGAAATGCTTCCCGGACCGCATCTACAAACCGGCCGTTGGCAAACGGGAGCCCGTCTCTGTTGTTTCCCCACGAGCTGACCCGCTGTTTCCCTCCTGCGCGCATGTATGAGAATGCGGGGAAGCATGAGACATCCGTGATCATGCATGACTCATGGTTTAGGGTTGTCCAAAGGGTATGGATGAACATCGAGGGCGGGGGGGAATGAATGGCGAGAGGGCGGGAGAGTAGGGGTGGGCGGGAGATAGGGGGAGGGCGGGAGAGAAGGGGAGGGCGGTAGAGGAAGGGAGGGCGGGAGAGAAGGGGGTGGCGGGAGAGAAGAGGAGGGCGGGAGTTAAACGGGGGGCGGGAGAAGGGGAGTGTGGGAGAAGAACCAACGGATGGCTGTCATGCGGATGTGTTTGCACATGCGCTACAAGCTTGGGCGAGGAGAGCAGGTATGTAGTCGCGTGCCAAAGTGGGGATGCATTGGGGGTACGTGCTTCATCAACGTGGGGCATGCACGAGGGGTGCATGAGCAGACATGTCAATAGGGGATGGAAAACAGTCACGCAAGTACTCACTCGGTTGGTATTTTTTCCACATCTTCCGCTTCTTCTTGGTGCCCATCCACAGTTCGGCTGCACGCAGGCCTTCCACCTTGTTGCCGAAAGTGACGAGCACTCTGCGCTTGAGATGGAAGCCACGTTCGTTCTTCCATGACGTCCAGGCGCGTTTAAAAGCGCCTATGATGTTTTTGTCTTCCATAGCCTCTCGCAGCTGCATCATGTTGATGACGTGCGTCTCGCTGATAACCTCATACAACACCTGCACGCGCTGTTTCGAGCGTTGGGTAGAAGTCTATGGCATGGTCTGGCGCCTCGAGGCACATCCGGTCCCGGCCCTCTGCGAAATGAACCTACGACAGCCGGATGGATAGGAAAAAAGGATATGTGGGTGACTCCCAAAGAAGGGCGGAAACCAGAGGTCGAGAGAGTGGGATTTGGGTAACACGTGCCGCAGGCCACCCACACCACCACCAGCACCATGAACAGGGGCTCTGGTTGAGGTAGGGGAGAGCGGGGAGATAGAGGGGGGAGAGAGGGGATGAACTAGTCTGAGTGAAATCATATGGGAGAGGGAGCAGAGTGTGAGAGCACCGTACGGACTGCGTAAGGGGTCATGTTCTCCTCGTACTAAGAGTCACAACCCCCGCTGCAGCCCGGCCCGCTACACGCTGCGCCGCATGCCACACACGCGACCAGAAGCACCGTTTAGAGGGGCTCTGGAAGAGGAGGGAGAGGGGTGGGATAGAGAGGGGGGGGGGAGGAGCAAGCGGAAACAAGGGATTGGGCACGTGGGGATGACAGAGAGGGCTGCTGCTATCTCTGCGCCGCATGCCACCCACGCCAGACCAGCAGCACCGTTTAGAGGGGCTCTGGAAGAGGAGGGAGAGGGGAGGGATAGAGAGGGGGGGGGAGGAGCAAGCGGAAAGAAGGGGTTGGGCACGTGGGGATGACAGAGAGTGCTGCTGCTATCTCTGCGCCGCAAGCCACCCACACCAGACCAGCAGCACCGTTTAGAGGGGCTCTGGAAGAGGAGGGAGAGGGGTGGGATAGAGAGGGGGGGGGAGGAGCAAGCGGAAAGAAAGGATTGGGCACGTGGGGATGACAGAGAGTGCTGCTGCTATCTCTGCGCCGCATGCCACCCACAGCAGACCAGCAGCACCATTTAGAGGGGCTCTGGAAGAGGAGGGAGAGGGGTGGGATAGAGAGGGGGGGGGAGGAGCAAGCGGAAAGAAGGGATTGGGCACGTGGGGATGACAGAGAGTGCTGCTGCTATCTCTGCGCCGCATGCCACCCACACCAGACCAGCAGCACCGTTTAGAGGGGCTCTGGAAGAGGAGGGAGAGGGGTGGGATAGAAGGGGGGGGGGGGGGGGGGGGGGGGGTGGGGGGGGAGGAAGCGGAACGAAGGGATTGGGCACGTGGGGATGACAGAGAGTGCTGCTGCTATCTCTGCGCCGCATGCCACCCACACCAGACCAGCAGCACCGTTTAGAGGGGCTCTGGAAGAGGAGGGAGAGGGGTGGGATAGAGAGGGGGGGGGGAGGAGCAAGCGGAAAGAAGGGATTGGGCACGTGGGGATGACAGAGAGTGCTGCTGCAATCTCTTCGCCGCATGCCACCCACACCAGACCAGCAGCACCGTTTAGAGGGGCTCTGGAAGAGGAGGGAGAGGGGTGGGATAGAGAGGGGAAGGGGGGGGGAGGGAGCAAGCGGAAAGAAGGGGAAATGGCACGTGGGGATGACAGAGAGTGCTGCCGCTATCTCTGCGCCGCATGCCACCCACACCAGACCAGCAGCACCGTTTAGAGGGGCTCTGGAAGAGGAGGGAGAGTGGTGGGATAGAGAGGGGGGGGGGAGGAGCAAGCGGAAAGAAGGGATTGGGCACGTGGGTTTGACAGAGAGTGCTGCTGCTATCTCTGCGCCGCATGCCACCCACAGCAGACCAGCAGCACCGTTTAGAGGGGCTCTGGAAGAGGAGGGAGAGGGGTGGGATAGAGAGGGGGGGGGAGGAGCCAGCGGAAAGAAGGGATTGGGTACGTGGGGATGACAGAGAGTGCTGCTGCAATCTCTGCGCCGCATGCCACCCACACCAGACCAGCAGCACCGTTTAGAGGGGCTCTGGAAGAGGAGGGAGAGGGGTGGGATAGAGAGGGGGGGGGGAGGAGCAAGCGGAAAGAAGGGATTGGGCACGTGGGGATGACAGAGAGTGCTGCTGCAATCTCTTCGCCGCATGCCACCCACACCAGACCAGCAGCACCGTTTAGAGGGGCTCTGGAAGAGGAGGGAGAGGGGTGGGATAGAGAGGGGGGGGGAGGAGCAAGCGGAAAGAAGGGATTGGGCACGTGGGGATGACAGAGAGTGCTGCTGCTATCTCTGCGCCGCATGCCACCCACACCAGACCAGCAGCACCGTTTAGAGGGGCTCTGGAAGAGGAGGGAGAGGGGTGGGATAGAGAGGGGGGGGGGGAGGAGCAAGCGGAAAGAAGGGATTGGGCACGTGGGGATGACAGAGAGTGCTGCTGCAATCTCTTCGCCGCATGCCACCCACACCAGACCAGCAGCCCCGTTTAGAGGGGCTCTGGAAGAGGAGGGAGAGGGGTGGGATAGAGAGGGGAAGGGGGGGGGAGGGAGCAAGCGGAAAGAAGGGGAAATGGCACGTGGGGATGACAGAGAGTGCTGCCGCTATCTCTGCGCCGCATGCCACCCACACCAGACCAGCAGCACCGTTTAGAGGGGCTCTGGAAGAGGAGGGAGAGTGGTGGGATAGAGAGGGGGGGGGAGGAGCAAGCGGAAAGAAGGGATTGGGCACGTGGGGATGACAGAGAGTGCTGCTGCTATCTCTGCGCCGCATGCCACCCACACCAGACCAGCAGCACCGTTTAGAGGGGCTCTGGAAGAGGAGGGGGAGGGGTGGGATAGAGAGGGGGGGGGGGGGGGGGGAGCAAGCGGAAAGAAGGGATTGGGCGCGTAGGGATGACAGAGAGGGCTGCTGCTATCTCTGCGCCGCATGCCACCCATACCAGACAAGCAGCGCCATGAACAGGGGCTCTGGAAGAGGATGTGGAGTGACGGGAGAGAGGGGGGGGGGGGGGAGGAAATAGAACAGTTATGGTGAGCTCGGAGAGGTGGGGCAGAGTGTGAGAGTATCGTACGCCCAGCGCCAGCGTCCTTGAAGCGGGGCATACTGGGAGTGCCTATCACACCGCAGTCAGGCCGCTATCACTGTGCATAATGGTACAAACACTCTGACCAGCATAAAGAGGTGGGGGAAACGAGGTGTTGAGAGAGAGAGCTGCAGCTATCACTGAGCCCCATGCCACACCTTGCTTAACACTTAAACATACCCACCTTCAGCAGCTTGGGCTTGGGCATCCCACGCGTTCGACGGACTGGTACGTCTACCGTCGATGGGCTTTCTGGCGCCACGCCTGGATCGAGGCCCACTGCAGATGGGTCGCTCGACAGAGACGCAATACGAGGAGGCCTAGACGGAGGGGTGCAGGGTTTGACAGGTCCTTTGGCTCCTGGCCTTGCCTTGAGTGCCGCAATTTCGCGATCCCGCTGGGCAAGCTCCCGCATGAGCTGCTCCACCGTCTTGCCGCCAGCCACATTGGGCCGACTGGATGCGCCAGGTGTGCCCATGCTCTCGCCCCTCCCCTCCTTAGTCGCCGGATCCATTTTCAAGTATCCTCCTTCTCCCCTGCTATCCCGTACATCCCACATGGAGCCTTCCACACCGCCGCCACATTCACCCAAGGAATTCGCCCACACACCTCCTCCCACACCGTCATTGGCTGCTGCGGCGGCCGAGGGTTCGTGCCGCTTCGTTGCTCCCTCGATTTTCACCTGAACCGCGTGACCCCCCGAAAGCTTTGCATGCGGGTCCGTCGCTTCCGTGCCAAACCGCGCTGACCCCCAAGCGAACGGATCTCCCTTCCCAGACGAATCCATCTGCTCGCGTAACGCAGCATACGTGTCGGTTGCTTTCCGATCATGAGGGCTTGATGGACATCGTAGCCCCATGGACTCGTAAAAATCCAACTCCCGCTTCTCCTTGCTACGCACACCCACAATTTTAGCTTCGAATCGAGGTCTCTGGCGCTTGCCATGTGGTTTGGCACGACGCACACTCTGCTTATAGCTCTTCACCCGTCCTGTCTCCGATTTTCGCTTTCCATTGCCCTTCTTGGTCTTCCGCACACCCCTCCTCTTCAAAGGCCGAGCCTCCTCCTCATCCTCGCTCTCCGGCTCCAACTCCTCATCCTCCTCTTCCTCTTCCTCCTCCTCCTCGTCCTCGTATACTTCCTCACTCCCTGATGAGCTGCCTGACTCACTGTCACTGGATCCCTCCTCCGAACCCGACGAGCTCGAAACATACTGTTTCGTCCCTTGTCGAGCTTGTCTCGCATTTCGGTCGCGACCGGCCAAGTCCACAGCATTGCGTCGTTTGTACGGAATCACAGCTTCACGTCCATGCTCTTTCCCAGCCGTGACTGCTGCAGGCTTGTCCTCATCCTGATCGATACCGCCACCACCTCGCTGCTCTGCTAGCCCTGCAGCGAGAGGGATATGAGAGAGACAATCTCAGCTACACGTCACTCACGACATAGTTGCTAGTGCAACAGGTAACAATATACAAGGAGGGTGGCAGCGAAGGCTATGCAACCTCAAAATCAACGACAGAGGTAGCCAGGAGCCGCCAACCTTCTATAACGGGCCTGGGCAGCGCCTGCTCGTCGCCACCAGCCACATCCAGCAAGAGCCTCCCCGAGGGACTGCCCTTGGCCGCCGCCGCTGCCTTCTCGTTGTTGCGCTTTCCACCACCACGCCCTTCAAGCTCGCCATGTTCCTGCTCGTCGCCACCAGCCACCTCCTGCGAGAGCCTCCCCGAGGGACTGCCCTTTGCCGCCGCCGCCTTCGCGTTGTTTCGCTTTCCACCACTACGCCCTTCAAGCTCGCCATGTTCATGCTCATCGCCACCAGCCACGTCCTCCGAGAGCCTCCCCGAGGGACTGCCCTTGGCCGCCGCCGCCGCCTTCGCGTTGTTGCGCTTTCCACCACCACGCCCTTCAAGCTCACCATGTTCCTGCTCGTCGCCACGCGCAGACATTCCTAGGCGGCCAGATGGACTACCATGATACTCCGCAGCCCTCCCGCTACGGTCATAACATCTACCGCGTTGTCCTGCACGCCTGCCTGCTGACGGAGCTGCGAGGGCGGACATCACAAGAACATTAGCAGTCCAGTGCGCGCTAACCTTAATTGCACGAAGTGGCATCAGTATGATCAGTCGATGCAGGGAGTAACGTGCTACTTAGAAACCGGCGATATTACACAAACACGCACCTTCTTTGACGGGTCCGCCGTCCTCGACCTCCTCGTCGCCTTCAGACGCAGCATGTGAAGTAGTGCCTCTCTTTTGTTGACGGCGCTTACGCCCCTTTCGGTTGTCACGCTTGTCCTCTGACAATGTTACGGGGGAGCACAATCGGAGCTTCAGTAACGGGAACAAGTCAAACACGACGGCAAACCGCACTTACTGGATCGGTCGGAGGTAATTAATCATGCAAGTCTACCTTTCAGCAGATGGTACCAAAGACACATACCTTTCTGGCCGGCTTTGGGACCGATGTCATCTAAGCGCCTCACGCGCCTCTCCCGTGGTTTTGGAGGGGAGGACACGCCCTCGTTAGCGTATGCCCCAACATCGCCGTCGCTATTTGATTCGTCACCAGATGAAGAGTCCCGTCCTGACTCAACGTCATCACGCGCCGACGACGCATTGTACTTGCGGTACTCGTTAACGATCTCGGCCGTTTTATCTACTGTAACTAACTCCATATAAATTTTTTCCTCCGGCAATTTCGACGAGTCTGCCAAAACGATCGCCCCATCGGGCCCCTTAATCGTCTGACTATCCATTGCAATGTCTAGGTTTCCATTCACGCAGAAGTCTGAGGTGTGTGTTAGTTTTGACGTTGCAACCTGACAGCTACGCTTCGCGCACTAAAAAATTGTTGAGCTTAGAAGGGACGAGTATCAGACAGGGGCCTGGAGCAGATGACCGTCCCACAAGCAGGCACGCAAGAGGAGCACGGAGGTGACGAGGGTTGGAGTGTTTCTTGCTCTGTTCCACCTTGCGACATCCAGGTCCCTCGTTTCCCCAAACAACCAATCACACGGTGGTTAACGTGCATCCATAAAAAAATGCGGCTCCAATGGGGCATGATTCAGTGGGAGTAGGCGTTTATCCGTCCAGTAGCGGCAGGGAGCGATACAAAATGTTGCTAGTGCTTAAACGTGCGCTAGTGTATTAGGGCTCACGAAAGATATCTATTCTGCCCGCACAGACTTTATGTGGCTAATTTTCATAGTCTTCCACGCGTGCCTCACGAAGCTTGGCGCAGGCGTCACGTCAATAGTCAAATCGCCACTTCGGAGAAACGGGGACGAACCATTGGCGCAATTCGTACAGCGATGCGACAGTCTGATACGAAGCCGTTATGGAACACCTGCGATAAGAACGCATGCTCGGGAGTTAGTTGTGAGTGGTGGCGATTGGGTCGCAAGTCGGAGAGAACAACGTTCGTGGCAATGAACTGAGGTACGTGGTATGGCGCACGGGGGGCACAAAATCACACATTTATTTGCAAGGCTGCAATATAGTGTTGAAAAAACATATAAATCATTACTACCAAAGGAATGTTGAGCTGTCCAATACCGTACGTTTACTCAAAAGTATGAGCACCGACAGTGCATAACCAGACACATCCTTCACGGACCAACTGTCATATTGTTTAAGGAGAGCAGTGACCCTGTTACCTTGATTGTTGTTTAAATATGGTCTAGGTTAATAATATATTGGTGTCGCAACAAGGTAGCTACTGGTATGTCATTTGTGGTGCAACATTACCAGTGCCATACACAACCAGTTGGGCTGAAAAGCCCTTAGGATCTTTGCAGGGGTGAACTCTGCGTATACTTGGTGTAGTAGCGGAAGCGTTAATTAAAGTGTTGTGAACCACCTTGCGCTTGTATGCGAGGGCAAAGTAAATTGATTAAAGCAAAGAGATACAAGATTATATAAGAGTACAAGGAATACGAAGAGATACGGTTGCAACTACTTTACTGTTGCTGTTGTGGTTCGATACAGTGACGACTCGGGCAACTGCTCTGCAGCGAGTCAGTTGTGTGTCCTTGCTGTCGCGCTGTACTTGTCAGGTCAACGGTTGTTGACCTTTGACCTGACCGTAACCTCCGACAGTTACTTCATCCTCCGAGGGTTGACTCGCTGGTGCTTCGATACCGTAGTGTTTTGCTTCGTTTGTGTCTTGGTGTTTCGACACGACACAGGCGCTTAGGACCGATTGTTTCCAACACAAACTCCCATCATGGGGCGTCTCTGCACTGTTGTCATGTAGGGCAGCTATAGTGCATAAATAAATTGGTTGATGTGTTGTATGTTCTTATTTCATGCTTGACAGGAGGTGACAAACACTTGCTGTTTGGTCACGTGAGTGATGGGGACTGTTTCGAAGCCTCACCCACGCGTTCTGTGACTTGCTTGTTGGCTTGTCACGATGGACTGGACGGTGGGACAAACAAATCCTCCTTATACGTCTTGTTTGACAACATAGGCCCAATATGTTCACCCTATGCTGAGACATGCTACCCGCCTCATCCCCTCCTGCTCCCTGCTACCTGCCTATGCCTCATCCCCCCTTGCTACCAGCCTCATTCCCCCTTGCTACTTGCCTCGTTCCCCCTTGCTACCCGCCTCATTCCCCCTTGCTACCTGCCTCATTCCCCCATGCTTCCCGCCTCATTCCCCCTTGCTACCCGCCCCATTCCCCCTTGCAACCCGCCTCATTCCCCCTTGCTACCTGCCTC